TGAACAGCCTCCTAACGGACCCTATGAGTAAATAGTTTATATTAAATATGTAAAATTTAAATTACCGTTGATGTAAACCGTTTTGCTCGAACTGGGCGTTTCGATTTCCCAACTGGCCTCTTTCCTCCAGTCCAGAAGGGTCCACACGTCTTCAATCATTCCATAAAAAAAATTTATTGGCACCATAAGACCATGTACATCTCGTAACTTTTTCTGTGGGGCACGATAGCCTAGCAATCGCCCAAGGCCATCCATTTCCATGCATACAGCCTCTTCAATGCTGGTTAATTCGGTGTCATAATCTATGAACTTTATAGTAAAATATTTCAATCGGCGACACAGGGTATACGCAAACTTACGATAGTCCATACGGGCCAACCCTTCTCCGTAGAAACTTGCACCTTCTCCGTACAAATGTGTTGCTATTCCTTGGAAATCAAACTTCTCCGTGGAATATTGCCGTTGTTCTGTCACGGAAAACCTTTTCTCTGTACAGGTATGGATATACAAATACCTACACTAGCAGATCCGCATACGAGACAGAAGCCCCGTTTATACTACGCTCAATTTTTGGTACGCACGGATAAAATTGGTACCCGTATCACTTTTTTGGTTATTGGACTACCTGTTTAGTTATAAAGCCCCGTTTACACTACGCTCAAATTTTGGTACCGTACCACTTTTCGGTTCTGGGACTACCTAAATAGGTAGTCCAAGAATAAAAAGAGTGGTACGGGTACCAATTTTATCCGTGCCGTACCAAAAATTGAGCGTAGTGTAAATGGGGCTTGACTGACAGATTAATACGGTGTATATTTAAATATTCAATTTATAAAAATATAAATCAACAAATAAAAGTGATAACATAAATATAAAAAAGTAAAACTTTATAGTATGTATACATACCAGTATCAAGTCTATTTCCACAATTGTTACAAAAGCTATAAACGATCAAAATCTCTGCCTGGCAATTCTCACAATTTATATGCTGGATATCTGTGCACATATTAAAGCATTCATATTTATAAAATTGGCTTGTAATGTTTTGACCACGATGTTGACTTGTGACTTTATTTTCTCTTCCTCCCCCCCCCCCGTTGTATAAAACCAATAAATGTTCAGGGGGGCGTGCCTTCTTAATTCACAAGGAAAGTGCTCATCCACGGAGAAGGCACGTGTTTCTACGGAGAAGCTGCATGTTTCTGCGGAGAAGAGGTGCCCCGTTCGGACCACCGCATCGTGTTTCACATCAATGCTACGCCTTTCCTCGGAGAAGCTGTGGTGTTTCCACAGAAAAGCTGCCTGTTTCCACGGAGAAGATGCGTGTTTCCACGGAAAACCTGCATATTTGTACGGAGAAAAGGCTTTCCGTGACAGAACAACGGCAATATTCCACGGAGAAGTTTGATTTCCATGGAATAACAACACATTTGTACGGAGAAAGTGCAAGTTTCTACGGAGAAGGGTTGGCCCGTATGAGCCACAGTACAAACTCCATGGATAATTTGGATATTTTTGCTCAACAAAATCTGAAATTTCGCGTCTTTTCAAGTTTTGCCTGACAAATGTCTGTAAATCTTCTCGAAGATTTTGATCATCTTTCCATTCGTCGTTATATGCCGCCATTTTTTTCCAGCAGTGTGACTGTGACAGACTGTGATTTTATAGTTACTGTAAGTACTTCATTCTATACATAGTTATTAGCAAGTCACTTGTACGGCTCAGAATAAATAGGTCAGCGGTGAGTGGCACTCATGGGCCACAAAGAAAAACAATTAGTGACACTCCTGTGCCATGATCACCGTTTTTTTTAAATATCTCTTTAATAAAATAAATAAAAAATAAAAATTAATAAAATATATTTTTAAAATTGGAAAATCAATTTTTCATATATGATTTTTTCATTGGCACTCATGGGCCACCATACTATTGTCTCTAATGAAGCATTTGCCGCATTTCAGCTCTGCTGATTATCTAATGCATTCGGCATATGTAGAACAGGCCTTAAAGGGGAACTCCAGTCCAAATACAAGTGTGGTTTATATGAAAGATCTTCCCCTTATTAGAATGTTCCTCAAGTATTTCGGTCTAAATATTAATAGTAAAGGAGAAATTGCTTGTCAAAGTTTGCGATTTTGTCAAATTTGGGCGCCATTTTGTTCTTTTCATTGCAGACTCGGATTTGTCCAGCGCCCTCATTTTTGACGTCATTGCGTGCTTCGAAGGTGTTGTTCATATAGAAAACTATTGCTTTGTATGGCGATTTAATAAGAATATCGATTATTTCTCTGCTTCTAATTCTTTAATTAATGTGAGTTTAGACCGATTTAACAGAGATATTTTACAGACGGAGATATTTTACATTACCGAGCTTCTGATTGAGGTGAATCAAGAGTTGCCAGGTCATGTTCATGTTTTGTACGGAAAGCTTGCGCAGAATTAAATAATTATATGTTGCGGTTGTTGCCCTGTGTGGATCTGGCTCTTGTTGGACTCTCGGATTCAATTTGCATGAATATCGATGCTGCGTTTGCGTTCAGCAACGATTTATCAGTTTATGGACTTCTGTTTAGATTGCTCATGTATGCGAGCAATAAGATTAATTGCTGTTTAGTATCGGGTATTTCACTGAAAGTCACAGATATACAATAGTCGTGGCCATGGATTTATATCAATTTTAATCGAAGAGAGGTGAGGGAGAAGAGAGTCGTCACTCGTATGAATGCATGGTTATCTTTTACTGCTAACATGTCTTTAATCATTTGTTTAAGTTTGCAAATTGAATCAGCCTGTCCTTGAGTTAGGGCTTAAGCAGTTTCAGTCGCTGAAAACATTTTGTTATTTATTGTGCAATTACGGTAAATAGACGTCTTACTTTTAGCGATTCTTTGACTTGCGAGTTTGTGTCAAGCCATTTGCATATATGAAATGAATTTAGACATCAATAATATAAAATAATGTTACCTAGATAATTCTGAGGGCAGACTACATGCTAGGCTACTATCATATGTCGCATGACAAGCTGTTTATAGAAATATATTTGTCTGTTGGCTGTAACCTGAAGTTCAGGTGATGCTATTTAAATAAAGTACGATAAGATTTTTTTTAAAAAGACAATCTTTACAAAAGAATTGTTTTATAACAGACAGACTAGCACAGGGTTTTAAACATTCGTTGTGGTGTTGGGTTCAATATGGGTTTTATTTACACACGACAGTGTCAAGTTACTAGTAAGTACCCACATGAAATGTTTATACGCAGTTGTTGCGATGGTTTAAAATTAAATTAACAGGTTTATAGTTTACTGTTATTTTATATAAACTGCCTTAAATGCAACATGCCTATGAATTTTTTGGTTCAGAACACTGTCACAGACTATTTCAGAAGTCTCAGAACCTAGTTAGTAACCAACAAGCCCACTTTCCGCTACTGCAGTATATTATTGCTAGATGTTTCAGCCTTGCCCAACCGATTTTAACTACTATTGATATATTTTCAGCAAGTCAGAATAAGAAAATCCATTTCGCAAATTTGCACACTATTCAATAAGTATCTATAGTCAAACGAGAGTCAGATGCCCAGATCCGCAAGGAGCAACATATATGAGCAACATATATTCTTTTTTAAATGTAAGCACGGTCTCTTCGACCTAGATATCTCCTCTTTCGTCACTTTTTCTTCAAACAGCTCGTCTCATACCCGTTCAAGTTCGGACAACTTGCTTCGTGTCAATCATTGCAGGACTTCTCTCTTTAGGAACTCTTTTTTCAACCGAATTGTCTTTCTCTGGAATAATCTCTCTCCTACCATTCGTAATAGTTCATCCGTTTCCTCCTTTAAAAACAGACTAACTGTTCATTACTCTTCTCTACTTCATTCATCTTTCGATGTAAACAGGATGTGCACTTGGAAAACCTTCTGTTCTAAGTGCCGCTCTTTCAACTTAAGCTGTTGTTCGTAATTCGTCATGTTTTCTGTAAATTTTATATTTGTTATCGTCTTTGATTTATGTTTGTTATAGTTTGTTTTCATTAAGGTTGGTCTTCATATGGGGCTATTCATGTCCTGTTGACCATACCTTCAACCATATTATGTAGTGTTTTAGTGTATTTTATGTATGGTTGTAAAGTTAATAAATAAATATATATATATATATATATATATATATATATATATATATATATATATATATATATATATATATATATATACTTAAAGGAGATTGGCAACAAAAATTGCTTCATCTATCTTATTGCTTCATCTGAAAGAGCATGAAAAAATAAGCCGATTGGCCGTTTAATGCTCTATTCTATCTCATCTAGTTCCGAAGTTATACGCAAAAATGTGCAAAATATAAATTGCTG